TGGTGGGGGGATTAAACTCAGGCCCTTGTGCTTGCGAGGCAGGCAGCAGAACCACTGAGCTAAATCCCTGCCCAGAGGACTCACTTAAAAAAAAAACCCAGCGTCAACAGCCCTGAAAACTTCCTAGCAAAGGCCCTGTGGCCCCTTGGGTCCTTCTTCTAGTGATCCCAGAATCCTAGGCTACCAGAGCTGGGGTGGACACAAGAAATTATCCCACACCAAGAGAATTCAGGTAAAGACCCAAGGGAGTTCCAAGAAGCAAGTGCTCACTTCCAGGGGGACAGTGCAGGACAATGGCTAGGGGCTGTGCTTGGGCTCAAATCCCGCAGTCACTGACCAACTCTCTGACCTTAGGAATATTCCTTCACCTCCCTCAGCCTGTCTCCTCATTTATGCAGATTGTAACACTTATCTCAGAAAGTCTTTGTGAGGATCAATTGACTGAGTATGTCTGTAAACAACTTAGCACAGTACCCGACTCTTGCTAATGGCTTAATGTATCATTGTTATTAATATTATTATTAATAATAACAGTAGTGGCTCAGGAAGGGAACTAAGGTTGGTGCCTGGAGCAAGGTCTCTTTGGGCTAGATTTTGAATAATTAGAAGGCAGCTGTGCTCACCACTGTAGCACCAATGCTAGATATTGAATAATTGGGAAGATTTGGCACACTGGAATGAATTAAGGAAATGAATGAGGTTCATGGGGAAAGATTCTCATATGCCATCCTGAGACTGACCAGGAGATGTTGCTGGGGCCTCAGTGATAGAACAGAATGGAGGGTACAGGCAGGTGATGATCCCACTGTGGAATGTGTGCCATAGTCCTAGCTTAAATGGTATCCACAACAGCACTGACACTGACGTTGAAATTGTAGCATAGGTTTAGGTACAGTACTAGTCACCTTTCCTGTTGTTGGCACAAATTTCCCAATACCAGCAATTTAAAAGAGGGAGGTTCATTTAGTTCATGGTTTCAGAGGATTCAGTCCACAGTTAGCTGATCCAAGGTAGGCACAGCATGGCAGGAGAGTGTGGAATAACAAAACTGCTTAGGCCAGATGTGGTAGTGCGTGTCTCTCATCTCAGCATTGGGGAGGCTGGGGCAGGAAGAGCACAGTGAATTTGAGGCCAGGCTGGTCTACATAGTGAGTTTAAGATCAGTCTGAACTACACGGTGAGACCCTGTCCCTAAAACCAAAAAAAAAAAAAAAAAAAAGAAACTGAACAAAGCTGTTTAGTTCATGGTGGCTGGGAAGCAGAGCCAATACAGAGCACCAGAGAGGAAGGGGGAAGCGATGTAGACCTCAGAGTGACACCTCTGTCACCCACCCAGACACTTCCAGAAGTGTGCTTAACTAATTTCCTGGGCAGATCCCAGAGCCAATCAAATTGACAATCCAGCTAAGTCACCACAGGTACAGAAGCAGGAGTTTCTAAGAGGCCCTTTTAAGAAAACTTGAACCCCTGGGGCTTTAGGAGAGTATGAGGAAATACCGTGTATTGTACTTGGCCAGTGATACTTAATTACACCACAGGAGTCAGTTCTGGACATCTCCCACTGAGCTCCATGGGGAATATTTAATCAAATTGTCTATGTCTCAGATACTCCTTTTTCCCAGTCTTTCACTGAAGCATGATACAATCTTCTCCCCACGTCCAGCCCTATCCCTTCATTACCATAGTGCTATGGACTAAATAGTCCGTAGCACTTAATCTCCAACATGGTGGCATTTAAAGTAGGTTTTCGGGAGGTAATGAAGTCATAGAGTGGAGACCACATGATGGGATTGCTGGGTCAGTATTGTCCAAGAACCTAGAAGTGGGCCCTCATCAGACACTGGATCTGTCAGCACTGTGACTTTGGACTTTCCAGCTTCCAGAACTGTGAGAAATATGGACGTCTATGAAGACTGCTCAGCATTCCAACCCCCCAAACATACCCAAAGAGATAGCTGGTCTTTCACTTGCCTGGGCCAGGCATATCTTTGTGTGATATTTTTTATATAGTAGCCCAAACCGACTAAGACAACATTTATCCTCTGCGACAGAGGGAAGAGGAGAAGTGGCCCGGGACGTAGGACTCCATGATGCCAGTGATCCAGGTTCCTCCTCATTGCAGTTCTGCCATCCTCAGCTTGTGGGCTTCACATCCTGGTCCATGATGACTGCTTCTGCTACACATCTGCTATTCCAGCCAGCAGAAAGAAGGAAGAAATGAAGAAAGGCACATGTGCCAGCAGTCACCTATCGTTATGGTGTGGATCTAAAATGGCCCCGAAGCTTCGTGTGTTTGGAAGGTGGCTGACTCTTGGGGGTGCATCCAGTGGTTGAGTCCAGCAGCTGAGGGTGCTGTTGGGAGGTGAGGCCTGGTAGGAAGAGGCAGCTCACTTGAGATGTGACGCAGAACGACTTTTGCTCCCTGATTCCCCCTTCTCTCTCTGCTCCCTGGTTACCGTAACGTGAGCAGCTCTCCTCTGTGGCAGGCCCTTCTACCATGCTGTTCCTACCTTGGAACCTTCTGAAGCTGAACCAAAGTAAACCTTTCCTCCTTTAAGTTGTGATTGTAAGCTATTGTGTCTCAGTGATGAGGAAAGAGACTAAGACGCCCACACTGCTTGTTAGCCATGTGGCCATTCCTAGCTGAAAGGGCACTGCAAGAGAAGGTCCTTCTTTTGGGTGGCCCTTGCCTGGTTAACATCTGTGAGCTTCTATTACTGAAAGACGTGTTGTACCAGCTTCTTTTACATTCAGTTTACCCTCTTTTATCCTTGTGGATTGGATATTCTAGGCCAGAAGGTAAGATCATTTCCTCATGGGAAGACAAGTCTCTCCTTTAAGGGGACGATGATTCTCTGTGACAGTTTTGAGAGAAGAGTTGATTACAATAGAGTATCACTGTGAAAAATATGCCTGACCCAGGCAAGTGAAAGACCAGCTGTCTCTTTGGGTATGTTCAGGGGGTTGGAATTCTGAGCAGTCTGCACGGACTGTACAGGCCTTTTGGGTGGAGGTGGACAATGGCCTCTGATTCACACACAGCATGGAGTGGACAGGAAATCCGCCCACAAGGTACCTCAGGCTGAAGAGGACCAGACCTTTCCTTATGAAGATGTTCTAGCTTATGTTGTTCTTAGTGTTTCTTTCCATTTGGCCATGTCTGATCCCTAGGGAACGTCGTATTGATGGTCCAAGTCTGGTCACAGCTGTGTCATGTGGAATTAGGAGGAGCAGAGGTGGGTGAGGTTAAGAGGCAACATATGTGCTGGACGTTTAAGGGCAAATGGAATTTGCTGGCGCCAGAAATGGGGGAAGGACATTTCAAAAAAGCAGTCTCAGCGAGGCAGGCTGCGGCTCCATCAGGCAGGCCCCTTTTCTGTCATGTACTTGCGCTGTGATGATGAAGGGCACGTGTGGCATGGACTGGTTTCCTTATATTCTACCTCGGCTGTCTTTCCTCCCTCAACAGTGCCCAACATCTCTGTTTTGGGGACAGGTACTTAGAGAGAGGGAATGGCTCTGATTTGTTATTGTATCACCAGTGCCAAATAACAGTGAGTGACTTCAATGCTCATAATATACAAACTTCGTAATCGGAGCCCAGTGTGGTATACTTGCTTTTCTTCTTCTCTTCTTCCTCCCCACTCTCCGACCCCCTTCCCCCCTGCCTCTCCTCCTTTCCCTCCTCCTCCGCTTCCTCTTCTTCTTCTTCCTCTTTCTCTTCTTCTCCTTTCCCCCTTTCTAATGAGTTGCATCCCCAGCCCACAGAATACTTTTCTGTTGTTTTGTTTTGGTTTTGGTACCAGGGATCAAACTCAGGACGTTGCACTTGCAAGGCAGGTGGCAGCACCACTGAGCTAAATTCCCGGCCCTCAAAGAATACTTTTTAAAGCTAATTATCTTGAGCCTAGACTGTCTACAGAGAATTATAGTAATACGGATAATTACTGTTCATTGAATAGGCAACAGGCAGGCACCACCATTTATATACATTGATTCATCTGCTCTACATAGAACCTAATCAGGTTATAATAAATAAATATATTTATTACCCTTGTTTGTGTAATGAGGAAGTTAGGCTCAGAGAGTTGAAATAATTTGCTGAAAGTCATACAGCTAGCTAATGGAGTAAAAGCCAGGCAGTCTGCCTAGACTGTTAGCCACTCCAAGCCCTCCTCTTCAGCTCCTGCTGGGTTAGCCCTGTTCTTTCAAGTCACTGAGACTGTTTTCCTAGAATGTCTTTCCTCAGTTTCTGTCTCTGGCAAACTCCATTTGCCCTTTAAAGTCCAGTGCTGATGTTGCCTCCTGATCTCAGCCACCTCTCTAACTAGAGAAGAGAGGTGGCCCCTCTCTGATTTGATCCCTTTACTAGTTTCCCCCAAACTTGGACTAGGAGCTCTCTTGAAACAGACCTGACCCTGAGCTCACACCTCGGTATCCTTAGCCCTCAACACGGCGCCTGTCTGTGGAAGGTCCTCTGTTCAGATTTGTGAATGATTAACTGTCTCTACTGCTTCACACGCAGGGAAATTTGTCCAGGGAAGCAGAGGACCTGTCCACATCACACAGCAAGTGAGAGTGAAGGCCAGACCCCAGGACTCCTGACTCCCAGCATGGCTGTCTCCCATCTGGTTGTGGATGTGGAACATTTGGAAAAAATGTTCCTGCATCTTTGAGCCTTTCTTAATTAAGTCTTACAGTTTATCCCAAAGAGGACTTCTTTGAGACTGCTGGTGGGAAAGTGAAGTTTGGCAGTCCAGTCTGGAAGTCATGAGGCAACAGAGAAAAACAGGCAAACAATCCTGAGATGTATTTTGCTGTCCCAGTCCTTCAAAAACAGCAGAACAAAACACTCAAACCCAAACTGAGGTTCTGGCCTGTAGGGCACTGAGCCAACTTGGACAGAATTCGCTATGTGGATCCTCCTCCTTCCTTAAAATGGAGGAGTGTTTGGAAAGAAACCGTTTTCTGGTTTATCTGGAATTTCATTAAGATAATGCAAAAAACAAAACAAAACAAAACAAACAGCAACAAAAACATGTTTCACCAGGCCCTAGAGAATTAATCCATAAACAAGCTCCAGGTCCATCTCTCGTCGGCCATACTGCTGAATGAGTCCTTCGTGGCCCAGCATCTGACCATCCTTCCCAATGCTGGCCACCAGGGGGCAGTATCCTCCCTCAGCCCCTTCCTAGGGATTCTGGGTCCCAGCTGCTTTACTGTTTGCAGGGCTGCTGTAATAAATACCTTGGACTGACTGGGCAGTTTAAACAACAGAAATTTATTTCCCACGGTTCTGGAGCTGAAGGTGTTGGCAGGCAGGGTTGGTTTCTCCTGAGGCTCGGCTTGGCTTGCAGATAGCCAGCGCTGTGCCCTGGCTGCTTTCCTTACGAGTGGGAGGAGGGACAGCGAGTTCAGAAGGAAGCCAGCCTTGGGGGTCTAACTAGCCCAAAGGAAAGAATACACACACTTGCAGCAGCAACACTGCCCCCGCTGGCTAATGCTGGATTTCATTTCACCTAAGATTATTTCTTTTCTTTTTTTTTTCCTCTTGGAAAAGTATTTTCAAAAAAAATTTTTTTAATGCGTGTTTGCAGTACATAATGTTTACATTCCTTGTACGGAGTTAGTACGCATATGTAATGCATCCTAATTTCTTTTTTCATCTCCTTCCCCCTCCCCTCCGTCCTGCTCCCTCCATCTCTTGATCGCTTCACATTTGAGAAATATCTCCCCACTTCCTTCCTATTACCTTTTATTTCGCTCAAGACCCAAGTTTATGTTCTATCACATAAGAAAAAAGGGTATCAATTATAATTGTAAGATACTATCAGTTGTTAAATCTCTTTCTGATTGCAGAGATGCTGGAATTTGGGGGAAAATGTGTGTCAGGATTGAGAAGAGATCCCATTTGTTGACTTTGGTAGTGAGGATCTATATCAAGGGAAGCAGACAGATTCGGGCTTGAGGCTCAGGATCTTGGTTTTATGCAGAGTAGAGTGGTCAAGTGTCGTCCTAACCGAGGTGCATCACCGCCAGAACTAGCTAAATCCGTGGCTGGGAAACAGATCCAAACACCTGCTTAGACCCCGCCCCCGCCCCGGGCTTACAGTGGACCTTGCAAAATAAGCCCAGAGCTTTGAGTTCTTGTTCCAACCAAGGGAATGAAAGAAGAAAGCCTTGAAAGTAGAGAGCTTTGCATGCTCGTGAGAGAGAGAAAGGCTGAGAGTCAGGGGCTCTTGGTCCTAGCTGTGGTTCCTCTGTCCTGTGTGTCCTCTGACATGTACTAGGCAAGTTCCTCTAGCTCTCCGGCCCTATTTCCTCAGGGGTAAAGCAGTGGAGCTTAGCTACTCATTCAACACATGTGAGCTGAGACCCTCTCAGCTGAGGTAGTATGCCGAGGGCTGGAGATAGGTCCCTGTTTTAAGAGAGTTCTGTCCAGTGAGAAGACAAGGAGCAAGAGAGCAGAGAGGAGACAGCTATGCCCTCGCACGCATTTCTCTCCCATCCTTATCATTATTGCCTGAGGTAGGCAATGCAGGTATTTGTATCCTTACTTTAGGCATGAAATCATGGAGACTGAGAAAGATGGTACTGCTTGCTAAATCTGCCCAGCAGAGACAGGACCTGGACTTGCACTGCTTGACTCAAAGCCATTTTTTTTCTCTCCGCCTTTGATGGTTGGTTTCTTTCTAGCAGAAATTTTTAGATTCTGTCTCAGAAAACAACCATGAATGTCACATTGTGGTAAGTCCCGTCTAGGTTCCCTCAACAGCCAACAAGGGAGAACCTTTCCTGCCCAAGAACTGGGGACAGGATAGGAGGACTCCGCTCATCTACCCTGGCTTCTCTTCTACTGAGAGGTGCACCACCTTTAATCCTCACAAAAGCCTTCTGACTATATGCAGGGGAGGTTAGCTGTGTGACCTTCCATGTGAGTGATTCCGTCCAGTCACTTTATCCCATCTCTACCAGCCTGCCAATGGGGGAATGTGCAGGGTTCATCTGTGATTCCCAGAGGGCATCCTGGGCCTGGCAGATGGATGGCAGAAGCTTAACAGAGTGTGTAAATGTCTTAGTCCATGCGTGCTGCTATAACAAAATACAGTAAGTTGAGTGTCTTACACAAAAGAAAAAGTTATTATTATTATTACTATTTTTCATTAAGTTTATTGGTATATCATCACTGGGCATTTGTACCTTTACATGATATATCTTGGTATTACTGTTTTGTTTTTTTGAAAAATTCCTTTTTCTT